CGTGCCATATAACTCAGCTCTCCAGCTTTCCGTTCATGCAGCCGACACCATCCATTAGGAGAAAGCAACTCCATCACGCTTACGGCATAGGTAAAACATAAAGGTGCCTGTATCTCCAAACTTTACAATCAAACGTGGGGTCTTTAAGAGAACCAACCTGCTCGGCTTGGTCAACTGCACCTTGGGTGCCAGTTTCACGATCAAGCTTGCCAATCCCAGATTTCGCAATGTCGCTACCAGCCAAACTGGATCCGGGGGTCAACCTCTTCGACGACGACGACCAAAAATATTTTTTGGGCTGTTTGCGACATTGAACGCGAAACTTTCACACAAGGTGCTGTTGGCCAAGCTGAGCCCATTGCTCTATTCAAAACCCCACGTTCGATTGTAAAGTTTGGAGATACTGGCACCTTTATGTTTGTAAGCGTGATGCTATATGAGAAGTGGTCTTTGTTCATTGTCAAGTAGCTGGACCCTGGCAGAGCAAAAGATGCAGAGGGTCGTGTTGTGTAACACAGCTACGTTTGCATGAATGAAAGGGTCAATGTATAATTACTTTATGGATCATCTAGGAACAGGCATGTATTGCTAGCTAACGGCCACTTTTATCCAATCATCATTGTTGCGAGATCCACTGCATGGGAACGATGCCCCTGCTCCAGACATTCATTTCCATGATTAAAGTAGGTTGATCCGAGCTGATTTGACTGAGCTGCGGTCAAAGAGAGTTTACATCACTCTGGACATAAAGCACGCTCGATGTAGCTCAACCGATGTAATCTTGTGTGAGCGTAACTCAACCAAATCAGCTCGGATCAACCTACTTTAATCATGGAAATGAATGTCTAGAGCAGGAGCATCGACCACCTACAATAGAATGCACAAAAGTTGGGAATGCACAAAAGTGGCTATTAGCTGCCAATGTATGACGTAAAAGTGAGGGTTGCGTACCTTTCATGCATTGTCCCTGAAGTCCTGACTTTTTAGCTGAGTTACCCAAAGAGGTCCTTCTGCATCTTTGGCTCTCCAGGGTCTAGCTACTTGGCAATGAACAAAGACCACTTCTCATATAGCATCACGCTTACAAACATAAAGGTGCCTGTATCTCCGAACTTTACAATGAAACGTGGGCTCTTTAATAGATCAACGTGCTCGTCGGGGTCAAAGGAATCTTGTGTCAAAGTATGAAGTTCATCGTGGGCAATCCCAGATTTCGCAATGTTGCTACCAGCCAAACTGGATCTTGGGGTCGACCTCTTTCGACGACGACGACCAAAAAAATATTTTTTGGGCTGTTTGCGACATTGAACGCGAAATTTTCACACAAGGTGCTGTTGGCCAAGCCGAGCCCATTGCTCTATTCAAAACCCCGTGTTTCATTGTAAGATCTTGAGATATGGGCGTCTTTATGTTGTGTGCGTGATGCTATATGACAAGTGGTCTTTGTTCATTGTGAAGTAGGTAGACCCTGACAGAGCCAAAGATGCAGAGGCACATGTTGTGTAACACCACTGATAATGCATGACTGGATGGGTCAATGTATAATGCTTTATTGATCATTTAGGAACATGCATATTGCCAGCTAACAGCCACTTCCACCCAATCTCAACTTTTATATGCGCTATCATAATGAAACGATTCTCCTGCTCCAGCCCATCATTTCCATCATTCAAGTTTCTTGATCCGAGCTGATTTGACTGAGCTACGCCCAAACAGAAAATGTGTCAATTCTTGAAAGACAGACCCTGCGAATGTCTCCGTCTTTCAAACTTTTGGACGCTCTCGTTCCAAATTTTCAAATGAAGCGTGAGGTTTTTATTTGAAAAAAGTGGATCAGCATGCTCGGAGCACCATCCTGACCAATTTTCAAGTTGGAAGTGGGCAACTTCGGGGCGGTAGGCCGTCCACTCTTTTGTTCGCGTCCTCCACCATTTGGGCCGCTCCGCATTTTAGATTTTCACAATGAAGTCTGCGACTTTTAAATGAATGAAGTTGATCAGCATGCTCCAGAGCACCTTGTGTGAAAGTTTCAGGATCAACAGGGGCAATCTCAATATCAAGGTTTCATATACAGTGTTCATGCATTTATACAAGAGGTGTCCGGCAACCCAGCTTACTTAAATTTCCACTTCTTCCACTCCCACTTGTATTTGCCCTTCCTCCCAATCTCAACTATTGCTCCATTCAAGTACAATTGACGCCTGAAAACGATTGTCCTGCTTCAGCCCATCATGCCAATCCTACGAATGCCTTGATGCGATTGTCTTTGACTGAATGGCACGTCCATGGCATGTGTACTCTACTACAACCCCCCTTTCTTGTCACTTCACCTTCTCTTGTACACTCCTCAACCATGACCAAACGTTACAACAATGGTCATTAGCAAGGTCTTCATTCCATTGCTGCAAACAGCGTTCTCAACCTTGTCACTCTTTACTACAACACACGCTCTTGCACACTTCTTTGTCGCAACCAACGTACCAGCAGCTGCTATTAGCAAAGTCTTTATTCGTTGTCTCAAGTTACTTGCAGCAGCTTGCTTTAGTATCTATACCTGGATGAGCCGCGTTGGAAAATGACCAAGGAAGAGATAGACCAACAGCCGGATGGAAAAGGGAAGCGATTACATGGCTCTTTCAACCAACATTTGAATTTGCAATGGTTATGGATGGATGGATAGATGCAATCAAGAGCGTCGTCAGCAGGAACGATAGGTCATGTCACGTGGATACGCCTGAGGATGATGATGGATTGGATGGAATTGATGAGAAGGCTTATACCTTTGGTGAAACGTGTTTGACAGCCATGGGTGATATTGCAATACTGAAATCACATCACGCAGCACTATCGTGAATGAAGGATGTGTATGGCGGCGGCAACCAAGAATACAATGACACAATTATCCCTATTACCCATTATGTGATTCACCCGTATCTTGTTCAATTTACAGTACTGTTCCTTTATCATACTTACTCGATAAACATCCACATTACCAATTACTATCCTTCGACTTTTGCAGTGAAAGAACATGGATTCAAGAATGATTAGAAGGGTGCCGTGCTATCAGCTTATATATGCAAGGTGTGGATCACTTGGATTGAGAGGGGGAATAGAAACTTGAAGGTGGGGAAGCGAGATTGGGTCATTCACATCATCGAATGTACCGAGATGATTTTGTTCTTTGGTGACATTATACATTCATTTAAGCTTCCTAGTTCACATGCTGATAGATAAGGCAGTAGCAATTCTCGAAGGCTTGTATTGCATAAACAATGAATTCAACATAGCGCTTACTATACATACGTGGTTCATTGTAAGCTTATTTCATTATGTTCAAGGAAGAGAGAACTGTGATACAATGTGGCACGAGCACATGAACATACCATGCTTACCTATGACAAGTTTCAGCTAACGCTATCCTATGCAACCTTATATAACAACGAACCATTCCATCGGGCTATCATAGGCTGACCTTACTATAGATGCATAGGGGGAACCATCCATCATGCACTCTCCACCAATAGGGCATACCCTTCAATTCTTCCCTGTTACACAAACAAGTCCTTCTGCATCTTTAGCTCTCATACGAATGAGGCGATTAGCAATGAACAAAGACCGCTTTTCATATACCATCACGCTTAAAGTAGAAAAACATAAAGACGGCCATATCTCAAAATGTTACAATCAAGCATGGGGGTTATTAATAGAGCAAAGTTGCTCGGCCGGGTCCAAGGAAGCCTGCTGTGTGCATGGGACATAAAGTTGGTCTCCTTGTCTCGCAAGAAGGTCCTCCAGGATAATTGTATTATAGTTGACGGCAACAGAGAATGACCATTGACTCCAAGCCTGAGAGGCATTTGGCATTACAAGATGCTTTTGGATGCACTGGCCATTTCAGGAATACTAACCATGCCATGTTGATTGTGCAATCTTGAGGTATTAGTACGAATGAACTTCTTATTGGTGGGAGGAGCGTGATTGGTATATGATCCTTCCTTTGCCAAATAGCCATTCTCTTAAATGTAACATCTTGCCACATATTAAAATAAGGGCGTCAATTTTATCGACCAAGTGTTCTACATACTACTGCCGCTGTGGACAATGAAGTTGTAAACATAAATGCTTTATCGATCGATACAATATTGTTTAACAAACTCAAGTAGAGCAAACTCATTTAAAGGTTTGGTCAGATACCTAAAAAGCAACAACAACGTGATTAGTATTAGCATTAAGACAACCAACATCAAATCTTACCCATCCATCCCAGCATTCACGCAAATTGCTCTTGCACTATCTTGTATGTCTGCTGTGAGTGCCACAATCGGTAATCGCTTCTTGCTATTTTGCTCCTTTTCATTTCTCCTAATGGTCTTGGTCGCCTCCACACCATCGCATTTGGGCATGTGATGATCAAACAGAGCCATCTTAAAGTATCCAACCGGTCGCTTGGTCCATGCAGCAATCGCTTCAGCTCCATTGTTAGCGCACGTGATATTAAAGCCATATCGCTTCAATTGCTTGCATAGCAGCTTTTGTGCAACAGGGTTATCTGAAAGGTATCCTTTAGTATAAAACCTTTAAGCATGTATTGTCAACCTACCTTCTGCAACCAGGATGTTTGTCTTTTTGAATGCTTTACGATGTTCCTCTGGTATCGTCTCAATGGCAAGCTTGATCTCACTGCTACCGATACGTGCAAAGATGTTTGGCCTCGTCTTGGGTGCCGGTGTTCCTGGTTCGTCTTCCTTAAGAAATCCTGCCAGCATCCTCAAAAGCTTGTTGCGTCGCAACGGAACTCCCATACGCACAATGTTTTGTTGCTCGTCAAGATAACCATAGAACGATATGTGGAATGGCTGTTGTTGTTGTTGACGTTGCTGCTCTTGCTCCATTGAAGAGGATGCTGCTTCAAGAATCGGTCCAACACCTCCGATGTTACCTTGAACATTGCTGCCTCCCAAGGGATAATGCATGATAACCGTTACCTTGGCACGCTTCATAACCTTTTGAAGTTCCTTTTCCCAGCAGCTTAGCGTTCCTTCTTTGTGATCGAGAAGTAATCCCACAATGACAACTCCATAAGGTGTCTCTTGTTGCAACTCTGCATAATCGGTTACTGCATCAAATGGTAGGTTGGGAAGGAAGTTGGTCATCATATCTACTGTGGCGTGATGTGTATCGGCAACAAGGACTCGTGTTTTGATAAAGCTCTTGGATATTGCTTGCATTGCTTCAGTGAATCTTCGAGATTGATCAAGCACCGGTGAAACTTCGATTGAAAAGCGAAAATTGGATCCTTTTCCTGTCTCGCTCACAACATCGATATCTCCATTCATCAAAGTGACCAATTGAAGGGAAATGGAAAGTCCAAGGCCGGTACCACCATACTTGCGGCTAATGACATAACGTGTCAATCATCACACTCATATTCGTATAGGACATCGTATCATCAACTTACGTAGTGCTACCATCCACTTGTGAGAATGGCATAAACAACACCTTGCGTTGCTCCTCGCTGATGCCAATGCCTGTATCAATCACTTCAAATAGCAATGGAACCTGTGATCCCTTGTCCACTGATTTCTTTTTGCGTCTATCAATGGAACATCGGATCCTGATTTCGCCATGGTGCGTAAACTTGACAGCATTCCCAATCAAATTGATGATAACCCTATATGACAGAGCATAATCAATAAGCATTGTTTTACGCATATAACAAAAAAAGACCTACTGTCTAAGCCGGTTGGCATCCGCCATTACAACGGCTGGTACATCCTCCGCAACCGAGTATGTAACGTTGATGCGTTTTTGAATGGCGATGGCAATCAGCATATCAATCACATCGGCAATAAGCTCTTCCACGTGCACTGGTGCCAAATCAAGAGATACTTTGCCGGCTTGTAGCTTGGAAAAGTTGAGTAGGTCGTCGATGATCTGCAATAATCCTTCACATGATGATTTAGCCGTTCGCACCAAGTCGTATTGTGCAGGATCCAACCTAGTTATTCAACGTGATTAGCTGTCATGCATTTGTGTTACTCCAATCCGGTACCTTACTTTGTCTCTGACAGCAATGTGATCATGCCATAGAATCCCGAAAATGGTGTTCGAATCTCATGGCTCATGTTGGCCAAAAAGATCTCTCGCAATCGAGTCGCCTTATCAGCCGCTTCCTTGCTGCGCCGTGCTTCCTCCAATGCTTGCTTTTGCATTTCAATCATCCTACATCGATCATGAGTAACTTATAAATCCCATTGTCCATGAGTGCCGCTTGATACTTACTTCATGTTGGCCATTGTTACACGTCGCACGGATTTGAACAAGGCCGCATTGGTCAATGAAATACCCATTTGCTGACATAGTAATCCAAGCACGGTGATGTGACGTTGCGTAAAGATCCCAATAGCTCCTTCAAGAAAGATGCAGCCAACAATTGTCATCTTGTGTATGATCGGCATGCAGATTACTGATTTCTTGCCAGCACGCTCGAACCATGGTCCCACTGCAAATCGTGCATCTTGCTCAACATCAGGAATGAAAATGCTCTCGGAGGTGTGGATTGTGTGATTGATGATTTGGCTCGATACCATGACGCTGTTCTTTGAAATACGTTCTGGTTCTTCATATGTGACAATCGTATCTTCTTCTTGTGGGTTGCCATAAGCACCAATTCCAAACTTGTTTTCCTTGACGATGATAGCACCTCGATCAGCACCAGAGTTTTCAAGGATGATCTCCATCATGTTCTTCAACAACGCTTCAAACTTGACTTCGGATGAAAGCACCTGGGAGCTCTTGAGGATGGATGCCATGTCGATCTATAAAATGATGGGTCAAAAGATGGCATCGTTATCATAGCAACACTGGCACCTACAATATCCAATGTCACCAATGTTTGCTCTGTTGTGATAGGTGGTATCGATTCCGAACTATAAAGTTCATCGGCTATTGGGCTGTTATCATCGCCGTCACGTGAAGAGCTGCTCCATGATTGTCGAGCACGTTGGTGGCGGGGAGCTGCCATCAATGGGAATGGATCCGTTTGTGCACTCTTATCACGGCTCTCGATTCGATCATCGTTGAATGAGCTGAGTAGATCAGCGTATTTTCCATTAAGATGAAGTGACTTGCCAAGAGCACCATATGCCGTATAAAGATCCACCGCCTAATATGATGTATCCATTGAGAACATTATTCCTCATCAAGGTAGACTGCCACTATGCTTTACCTTCTTAATCATGCTATATGCAACGTTGTGAACCCCTTGGCGGTAATAGAATGCACCAGCCAATTCATGCGCAATACTCAGCTCCAGATACCATTCTCCTTCACGAGCATGATTGATAGCTTCTTCATACAATAAAATGGCTTTCATAACATTGTCCCCTTGAAGACCTGCAAGCTCTGCTTCCACCAATGTCCATAGCGTAACATAGTTGACACGCACCAGCTCCACCCATTCATATAGGAGATTCTGATTCTGACCCACTTGCTTCAGACATTTCTCCATCGCTTCGCTGTTCTCACGTGCATGTCCAATCAGAGCAATTGAATGGTAAAAGAGGGTCACCCTTGTATGCCTTATGCATGGAAGATAAGCCATGGTGCGAAAACAATATTCTCCAATTTCAATGGCTGCCTCGTATCGCCCGTACAATGTTAAAGGGATCATCTTATAGGACTGATACCAGTTAAGTGCGAGAACAGAAATCGGGGCTTCCTTGGAGTTTTCAGTGAGGAAATGCTCGTCATTGAATCCATCATCGCCATCGAACACGTTATCAGTGTCCCAATACGTTCGCCCTTGCAATGCTTTGATTGTTCGCACAATCGACAGGCCCATTAGGTTCTGATGCGTAGCGGTAGACCACTTGTATACTTCGTCATAGGCGTCTTCTGCGATAGGCAATGCGTCTCTCAAATGATGTGCCACAGCAAAATGTGTGTAACTGTAGCAAAGTTTGCCGTAGTTTGTATAATAACGATCTCCTCCTGCATATGCACATTGTATTCCCGCTTCGATGATGGGTAGTCCTTTCGCCCAATGATGTAGGAATTGATGTACCATTGATGCATAGGTAATGTAGGCCGGACCCTTTTCTGAATTCCTGCCATGTCGATCAGCAATGGCGACACCGAGTTCGCCCATTTTCTACATTAAACGTGGTAAGTTGATCATCTCAAATCAAACATGAGAATTTAGTAGGCTTACATTGGCCGCTGCATGATTCTTGTGCACATCAATGTAGCCCATCGTCAACATCGCACAAGCACCGCTAACAGCTGGAACCATACCACGTTGGAGACACATATTCAATGCACGGCCTGTGCATGCACAAAGTGCTTGTTTCTGCCCAGTCCAATACAGCAAATGTGATCTAGAAAAAGAAACCATGATCATGTTACTATACTATATTCCACATCTTCATTCTTGCTTGCATACTTACATTTCTGCCATGATCTCAACAGTTGCATGTACGTAAGGATCGTCCGATAATCCAATGTTCGCAATCTCTTCAACATCCATATTCTCGATTGCTTTCTCAAGCTTATCAAGTTCTTCTTTCATTGATTCCTCAGCATTCTCCAACGTGAATTTTTCATCGCCAAGATCCTCCAAGCAAGTAAGTAGCACATCACGTCCTTCAAACGGCTTTTGTTGCGATAGATAATAACGTGACTTGAAGAAATACATGGCCTTGCGATCCAAAGGTGTTTTGGCACGCATGGAAAGGATCTCAGTCGATTTCTCAGTCACTTCATAGTCGCCCAACAATAAACTAAGTCCCATCGTATTCGTATAGAGCTGCAAAGTAACAGGATAATTGTCATCATCCCATTCCTTCTCCGGATCAGAGAGTTGGATTGCTGCCTTGTAATAGCTGAGCGCCATGTCGTGGGCACCAGATTGCCGTCCTTTATCGCCGGCGTCAATAAAGAGCTCTCGAAAGGATGAATTGTCCTCCAACGATAATAATAAATCAAGGCATTTCAAAAGATGATCCGCAACCAGAAATACATCCATCTCCTCCTCTACAATCCAATGTACATTAGAAAGCTATCATCCTAAGTAGTAAATGATATGTAATAATACCTTTCATCATGTGCTGCGCAATAATGAAATGGATCTTGCACCTCATATTAGGCTTGACAAGCTCACCGGCAGCGTGTGTAATACGATCATGGCTCCATTTGAATTCGTCAGCACCAAGTTGCATAACGTATCCTTCCTGGATCACGGCATGTAGTGCACTGATTGGATCATAGGTCTTTTGGTGGGCTCTTGTATCAGGAGAAAAGGTGCCTTCGGTCGATGTACTCTTTCTGCTGGATACGCTTGTGCTGGCCATTGATTCGGCTGATAATAAAGTCCTCTCATCATCAAATGACATTGTCTCCTCCATTAACGTCTTCACTGTTGACCATGAGAAAGTGTCGCCGACAAATGATGCCAACTTAAGCAGCTGCTGACCATGACGCGGTAGTTCTTTCAGCCGATTGATCATGAATGAAACATCCTCTTCCATTGTCTCCAAGAAGGTGCCTTGTTCAATACTTGCAAGGTCGTATTCCCAAACATTGAACTCCCAGTTGAAGTAAATGATCTTTTTACGTTCCAGCATTTGAAGTAATTGTGCCGCAAAGAATGCGTTGCCGTTGGTTTTCCTTTGTATCGCCAATGCAAGTGGAGTGACATAGTCGCGCTCGGTATCTCGTGATCGATGTAGTGTGTCACAAACAAAATCGGTCAATGCGTCAAGCTTCAATGTGCCGACCTCGATAAATTGAATGTTGGCGAACTCATTCTCCAATATCCCAGATTGCTTTTGATTCAGCTCCTGATCACGATATGACATAAACACGAGGATGTTGATCCTTGATAAAAGCAACGCTAGCAATAAATCGATTGAAGGATCATCTACAGCATTCGTTTAGCATCGTCAAACATAGCACATCTTGTTACTCCTTCCCCATCTTACCCGCTTGATGGATATCGTCAATAAACTAAGTAAAGTATACATTAGTCATCGGCCCATCAGCTTTCAATGCATCCTCTATGACAACTTACAATAGTCACCATACGCCAATGTGACACGGCACGAAAAACTTCAACGTAAAGGTTGTGGAAACGTACACGAGCTTCAGCATTATCGGTGTTCACCGATATCTCGGTAGTCGTACATTCATCCTTATGTCCACCAGCAGCCAACAATGATTTGAGCTCTGGAATCAAATCCGCCAATATTGAAATGTTGGGGAACTGAGCACCAAGCCATGCTTTCAAGTGATTGAAAAATCGATGAACTTCTTCCTCGGTCTCGGATAAGATTTGCTGTAGTGCCTGCGACATCAAACGTAACAAACCACTGTAGGGGACCTTGTTCCTTGAATCAAACTTGGTAGATGTGATATAGCTAGTTGCTTTTGTTTTAGGAATACAATCATTTCTCAGTGACAATGCAAATGCCTTACCCACTCTTTCTTGCCAAAGGCTGCACTGAGTTGAACAATGTTGATTTTCCTTGATGATGATGATAGAAAAATGTACCATTGAGTACCGGCAACGCGTGAAATGATCAACCAATCAACCTACCAATGCCTCCAGGTCCATAAATTCCAACCACAGTAGCTGCGTGCTTTCCATTGACTGATATAAGCTTGCTACTAACACTGGATATATCGCTGCTATCATGACCATGGAATGAAGCAGGACTTGACGCTGATTTTTGCTCTGAAGAATCGGGATCGCTGTTGCTGGATGCCGCGAGAGTAGCTCCTTGTTTGTTGCTGGGGATCTTCAAAGGCTTGTATTGATTCACGAATCGCTCAATGATATACACCATCTCCGAAATGATAGCTTGACGACCATAGACATTCCGTGGTATCATAAACACAGATGCAATGTCACGTTGTGCCAGTGGAAACAAGTCAATCGTCTAATTAGGTATAGCGTGAGCATTGTTGTATCGCATGATATGCATAACCTTTTCTCCTTAAAACCTGTCTCCTTGTCCCCACACGTAAACAAGATAACCTTGGATCTTTGTCGCACTGGCTTGTCACACACAAACACACACCTCGCATACACCTCCTATTTCCCATTTTCATCTTTGATTGTAAATCAATCCTTACCCTAGAATCACTTGACTTCAATCGGTGGAAACATTCCTCCATGTCGCATTTGACACCGTGCATGCTCATGTATCGCTCCTCTGGCGTCTTGGACGTCATCTTCTCAATGATCCTTGATATCACTTCAGGGACATTCAATTGGATATCATGCACAGCCGGCATTTTACGACTCAAAATGCTGTTGACAATCTTCAAGGGTCCTCCATCAAAAGGCATTTGCCCTGTCAGCAATACAAAGAATATGACACCCAAGGAATAGATATCGGAACGGTGATCAGCAACGTAGGTGGTGCGGCCTGTTTGCTCAGGGCTGATGTACATGAGTCGATTCTCCATGATGGCTTGGCTGTTCTGGTACTTCTTCCATCCTTCACTCGTAAGGTACTTTTCAAAAGATGCGTTGCTGCCAGCTGCAAAGTTCCATAAGCGTGTAGTATCCGAAGTGTCATTGCTGTTCCAACAAAAAGCTCCCATATTAAGTTGACCATGGATAGTGTTGTGGCGATGGATGAATTCCATAATGTCTGTGCACCGTATTGCTAATCGTAGGAAGGTGCCAATGTCGTCAATGGTGCGATTGGATGATCGGTCGCCATGGGCGTCGGCATAAATGGCAACTGCAAGTCCGCTTGACGACAAATAAGCATACTCCAAGGGACGCACTATACAACACGTAACCAAGATTAATATAAAGGCACGTGTATAACAAGGAGATATTGCTTACCAAGATACAAAGGACCATCAGCTGTTTGATAGAGTTGTCTTATGATATAATACTCGCGTTCAATCTGCAGGCTGTTGTTGGATACCTTGGCAACCACTGCTCGCTTATCCGATACGCTATGCAATGACACGTCAATCGATGCTTCATGATCCGTGTCTCTAATGCTTTACCGATAGCCATTGACAAGGGTGACATTATCGTAGTGATCGGTGGTTGGGACGTGTGCTGCATCGGTGAAGTGATAGCCCGCGATGTTCAAAGCCTCAGCAATTCGAGAGCGAATGACGCCATCAGAGGAAGGTGCACTGCTTGATGCTGTGCTCGACATGGAGAATGGGCAAGGACGAGGATAAAGAAAGTGGTAGTTGTCATATTAAATAGTGGTATTGATCCAAGTATGAGTAAAGGGAAAGCAAAAGGGATGCATGATCTTGTTGCGGAGAGTGACCAGAGCCAGCTGAATGGTACACTGAGATAAGGGAGTTTACTATATGAGAATGTGTGCTGCTGCAGGTGTCTAGAAATAAACTTGGCTTGCATTGTTGTTCTCCTGCATGACAACAACCAGATTCTCGCTTGTTTTGTGGAGGTGCAAGTTGCGATCCTCTAATAACCCTTTAATCTTTATTTGCTATGTATTCTGTTATCAGCCATTTGTTTTCTTCTTATCTTCACAGTTCTCCATCGCCACCAATCATACATACGTAACACTCTCTAGTGCAACAATAACAGACGCCTCTTGCACGAGAACCACAATGTTGTTTTTTAGTTAGTTTCATACTCTTGGACGTATTCATCCTCAACTTCCTGTCGCCATAGGCGATGTATGAGGATCATCATTATCATGTAAAGTGTAAAATGACACACACGGCCTTATACTATACGTGAGGTTCAATTCTTTTACTTATGTATGCCTATTCTCTATCATGGGGATGATGGTGATGGTGATGGTGATGGACCATGTGTCATGTGTGTTTGGGTGGATGATTTGAGGGGTAATCTAAATTGATGAATGGCCTCAGTGTACAAATTGGTTCAGGTAGATCGACTTTCTCCTACATCCAAATCCGATATGGAACCACTATTTTCATACACGTAGCTTGAGACATCTTCATTATTGGATGTTGTTTTACCTTACGTACCTTCCTAAAGGCAATCATCATCAGCATCCATTTGTGCAACAACCTGTCAAGGACGTCCGTGTGTAAACACCAAGTGCTATTTCACTCATCTCTCCATCTTTCCGTTAATGCAATCGACACCATCCATTAGGAGAAAGCAAGTCCATAACGCTTACGGCGAGCATAGTGAAAACATAAAGGCGCCTGTATCTCCAAACTTTACAATGAAGCGTGGGGTTTTTATTAGGGCAATGGGCTCGGCTTGGCCAACAGCACCTTGTGTGAAAGTTTCGCGTTCAACGTCGCAAACAGCCCAAAAAATATTTTTTGGTCGTCGTCGTCGAAGAGGTCGACCCCCAGATCCAGTTTGGCTGGTAGCGACATTGCGAAATCTGGGATTGGCAAGCTTGATCGTGAAACTTTCACACAAGGTGCTGTTGGCCAAGCCGAGCACATTCATATATTAAAATCAATCCTTATAATCCTGATTTGGCTACACCCACTTTTTCACCAATCATGCAGCCTCCCTACTTTGTTTCACTCACCCAAACCTCCTCTTCTCTCACCCATTCTTCCTCTTCTCTCTTTCCCATTACTCATCTCACGTTCCTCACCTCACGTTCCTCATCGCTTTTGCGTTGGATCGACAATACAAGCTCTCTTTGCCACACCCCATGTTTGGTGCATGGATAACATTGCTCAATCAACAATAAGCCTTATCTCACCGTGCAATCGACAATAAACCTCTCTTTCGCCATACCCACGAATTTGCATCTTGGTATCAAAATCGAATCTGACAGTGATTCTCCACCATACACATTACCCAGTGTCTAAGATACTACTTCAACCATCGTTTACCCAGGAGTCTTATTGCTCAACAATACATAATAAATAGCTACATAGATATATCACATCTATCAATAACTCTATCAATGGATCATTGAGAGCCATATCATGCATATCAATGCATACGCGTTGTTGTGATTGGGTGGGCGTGGGTGGGTTGGTGAGTGGATGGGT